GCGCGGACACCTGGGGGCCCACCTGGGCCTCGTCGGCTGAGCGGTCGACCCTCGCTCCCCCCTCCCTTGATCTGCTCCGAGCCCGCGTTCTACCTCCTCGCCCCTGCCCCATCCTGCCCCCCCCTGCGCCTCCTGCTCCTCCTGCTCCTGATCCTGCTGCTGATGCTCGATCTTCGATCTGCATCTCCTGCTGCTGCTGCTGTTCCTGTTCCTGCTCCTGCTGGTCGTCTAACTGCACTACCAGCCAATCTCTTTTTTCTCTCGTTTGTTCTCTCTCTCTCTCTCTCTCTCGCTCGCTCTCTCTCTCCGTCGTTTGCTCCTCACCCCCCCATTCCCCTCCTCATTTTCCCTTGCTTCGCACCCCGCCCCTCCTGATACACCTGCTCTTCATGCGATCATTCTACCCATCGTGATCCCGCGCTCACTCTGGCCCCGCATCACGGCAACAAACATACAAGAAAAGAAGACGGGGGGGAGGTGCACGCACGCACGTTTCTTTGCTCAGCCGATGCAGGCAGCGAGTTACTTACGCCCGCCTGCGTTCCTGAGCATCCCCTATGGAACGTCGAGGGCTCGCCCTCGCCTCACGCCTCGGGCCTCTTCTCCTCCTCGCCTCTGGTATCCTCTTCTCCTCGCCTCTGGCCTTCCGCCCTCCTCGCCTCTGGCCGCTCATCCTCGGGCTCGCCCCAGCCTCCCTCTCGAGCTACCCGAGCCCGTTGCCCATGTCGAGCCCGTCCGAACTGGCATCGCTGCTCGACGCCGTCTTCCTCTCGCGCCTGCCCATCTCTGGGCTGGAGCTGGCGGCCGTCTTCGAACCCTTATTCGGCTTCGAAACCTTGCTCGGCTCCGCAGCTTTCGGCCCTTTCTCCTTCTTATCATTTTTCTCATTCTGCTTCTCCTTCATCTTCTTATATGTCGTATCCTTCTTATCCTTTTTCTCCTCTTCTGCAGCCTTGCCCGCCTTCTCCGCGTTGCCCTCATCGCCGCTTGGCGGCGTACTCGACGGTGGTTATGGCTTCACATGCTTCGCAGGCTGTCTGTCAAGCTTCTCAGGCTTCTCAGGCTTCTCAGGCTTCGCTTTCGCTTGACCTTTCGCCGACGGCTTCGCACTGGCTTTCTGCGTCGCCTTCGCTTTCCCTTCCGCTTTCGGTCGGGCCTCGTTATCTTTCGGCGCCGCGGCCTCTGGCTCTTCGATATCACTCGATGCGGATTTGTGGCAGTCTTGGTCATCGTCATCATCATCGGATGAGGCTGTGCCACCGCCCTCCTTATCTTCCTCGTCCTCATCCTCGTCTTCCTCCTCAGCGCCCTTCTTCTCTGCCTCCGCAGCGGCCTCGCGCCCGCCCTGATCCTCGTCCTCAGCCGCATCCTCGGTCGTCGCGGCAGCGGGCCTTTTCCGCGCCGACGCAGGCCTTCTCATCGCGATGCCCTTCTCGCCCCCCTGGCTCTTAATGTACTCCTGCTTGCTGAGCTCGAACGCTTCCTTGCCGGAATCCTTGGCGTACTTTTTCGCCAGCTCGATCACTGTCTCTTCTGGGCGCGTGTAGTGCTCCTTAATGGCCAGCTCACCGACCATTGACTTTCTATGCTGGTCCTCACGCTTGACCCACACGGCGCAAAACCACTTCCTCACAGCGCCAGCTTCCATGGGCTCCCTCGAATACTTTGGCACCGACAGCAGGCCCTCTTTGGTCTTGCTCTGCCATAGGTCGCCGCTTCCAGCGCCGCCCTTCTTGGTCCTGACCTGCTCGCGGTAAGCCTCCACCGTGTAGCTTGGCACTGCCCACGTGGCCTCGTCAGGCCACTGAAACTCGAGCTCGTCGCTCTTGCCGCCATCGTCGGCGTTCGTCGGCGTGCCGTACTCTGGCGCAGTCGTCTTCTTCGGCGGGCCCTTCACGCGGCACGCCGCCTCGCACTCCCCGCGGCAGTGAGGGGAGGGGGGATGTGGGAGGAGGGCGGGCCCAGCGGCAGCAGCGGCAGTCGGGGTTGGACGGCGATTGGGCGGAGCGGGGCGGGCGGCGCGATGGCGAGGGCGGCGGCGTGCTCACCGCTGCGGTACCTACGCGGTTGTTACACTTGCCCTCGTGCCCACCCGCTCTCCACGCACTGTCACCCCTCGCTCGATACCGACAACATCGCTCTACGCATGCACCATTCCCCGCCAGTGCTCCGACGTCCCAGCGGCACTTCCACTCGTCATGGGCACCACCAGCATTTGCTTTCGCCTCCTGGCGGGCGTTGTGGCGGGGGATGGCGGCGACGCGAGACCGACCGACACAGTCGACCGACGACTGAACTTCTACGCAATTTCTACGCGTAGAAATTGCGTAGAGGTTACGACGCACCGTTCTGCAATGCCACTAAGTGTGCTACTCTGCTCCTCACCCGGCAGCTCTGCACTCTCGCGCGTCGCGACCCGTTGCCCTTGCGGCGCTGTCCTTGGCCACCTCTGTGAAGTGGCCCACATGCCAGCCGTGCGGCTCGCGAACCCTGGGAACGGGGCGGTGGGGAGGGGCGCGCATCATGTTGTCCTTCGACCTGCTATCACTCCTCATCCTGATATCCCTCATCCTGTTATTCCTCACCATGCTGTCACTCATCTTCTCATCTTGATATCCCTCATTCTCATGCGGGATCATCGTCCTGGCATCCCCCGTCCTGCTATCCCTCCTCGTCCGCGCTGCAAAGCAAAACGGCGTCCTCGCCTTGATGGCAGCCTGGCTCACCACGCGCAGTATCGCCCTGATCCAACGCCCCCTCACCAGGGGGCCCGATGCAATACCCTTCTCTCTCTCTCTCTTTCTCCCACTCTCTCTTTCTCTCGCTCCCTCTCTCTATCGCTGTCTATCTCTCTCCCCCTCTCTCTCTCCCCCTCCCTCTCTTTGTATCTTATCTCACGCGTCCTCGCTCTGCCGATCCCTCTCTCTATCGCTCTCTCCTTCGCTCGCTCCTGCCTTCTCTCTCACATATCTTATCTATATCGATCTCTATCTCTCTCTCTCTCGATCGTCTTCCCTTTCTCGCCACCCCTGGTCTCTCATTATTTCTATGGTGTCTCCCCATCCCTCCTTCCCTCCCTCTCTCTCCCTGTCCTCGCCTCTCACCCGTTCTGCTCATCTAGCCATTGCTATGTCTATATATATATATATGTGTGTACCTCGCTCTCTCTCTCTCTGTATGTATATATATATATATATATATATATATATATATTACTAGTATGTAGCTCTCTCTGCCTATATACGACCCCCTCGCCACTCCCCTATCACCGCCCCCATCTTACCTGTCCCCCATCCCCCCGCCGTTCTATGTTATATGGGGTCGGGCGGTGGTGGCGACAGCCCCGCTCTTCGTCGCCGTCTGGTCGGCCCAGCTCTCGGCCGTGTCGCCCAGCTGCCACGACGCCTCCTTCTCGGCCGCATGGACTTGGAGGCGCGCCCGCAGCTGTCCATGGTTCAGGGTGTCGCGCGGCGCTATGATCTCCCTCATGGCCTTCAGCAGGCCAACGTGCTCGACCACGTCATCACTGGCGTCGCCGTCCTAGCGGGCGCGCCGCCGAAGATACAAATTCTACGCAATTTCTACGCAATTTGCGTAGAATGTGCGTAGAATTTGCGTAGATATTTGGATACAGAATTGCGCAAATTCTACAAAGATACAGAATTTGCGTAGAATTTGGATCTTCAGTCACGGGCGATGGCGTCTCCACAGCCACCTCCTCCAACGCCTCCCTCGTCCCTCCGCGCATCCTCCACCAGAAATCCACCCTCCAATCGACCCCGATCCCATCCCCTCCCTTCCCCATCCCACCACCCCCCCGATCGAATCGGTTCGCCTCCTTCGTGTCCGCATCGGGGCACACGGTCTCGCTCGTGGGGATGTACCGCTTGAACGTCTTCGCGAAGAGTTCGTTTGCCTCCGGCGGCAGCGTGACGGGCGGCCGAGGGTTGCCTCCTCGGGTCATGGGGCCTCGGTCTCCTCGGCTCCTCGGCCTCCTCGGCCTCCTCGGCCTCCTCTCCTCCTCTCCTCCTCTTCCTGGCCTCCTCGGCCTCCTCTGCCTCCTCGAGGCCCGATGGCGCCCCCGCGCGGGGCGCGCGGGGCGCGCGGGCGGCGCTCGGCCGCCCTCGGCCAAACGGCGGGGGGAGGGCGAGAGCAAGGCGAACTCGGATGGGGGGAAGGGCGGACGAGGCGCGGGGCGGCGGCGCGACCAGAGGGCGGATGGGCGAGGATTGGGCAGTGCGGGGCGAAGTAGACAGAAGCTGGAGAAAAGTGCGAACGAGGATGAGAAAGCGGAAGCGACGAGGGATATGGGGGGGCGGCGAAGCGGTTGCAGGTGGCAGGAGCAGGATGGAGAGGAGGGGGTGCGAAAGAACGAAGGGCGACAGGTAACACTGTAAACATAGTGGGGCAACGACATCTTACTATGTATTATGGCGAGGGGGCGACCGAATGATACCGACACAATGATGCAACCCGCTGGGCGACGACAACCCATCTGATCGGACTTCAGAAAAACATTAAAGTCATGAAACGTTGAGTTGGATCCACTCTGCTGGATCCAACGTAGATATTGGATCCACTTTGGGCTGGATCCACTTTTCTGGATCCAGCATAGCTCTTGGATCCACTTTACCTCCGGATCCAGAAAGTGGATCCTGAGGACCTCTGGGAAGGGCCCGCAGGGGCCGAAAGCTGTTGGAAAACCTCCCGTCGTGGCGCTCGCTCGCGGCGCGAGGGGGCCGGTTCCGAAGCCCTGGCCCGCAGGGGCCGAAAGCTGTCGGAAGACCTCCCGTCGTGGCGCTTGCCCTGAGATCCAACGTATTGAAAAAATAAGACGGAGGTTTTTCGCACATTTCGGCCTCCAGAGGCCCTCGCCGGGCCTCGGGACCGTCAAAAACGATTCAGGATAAAAAACTGGTCTTGGGGAATGGGTCGAGACTTCCGGGGACCCCGTATTGAAAAAATCACGACGTCGGATCTCTGGGTGCTCGCGGCGCGAGGGGGGCCTGGCCTATGCCCTGCCTGCCCCGGGGCCGCCCCTGCGTGCAGCCGCCGAGCCGGGCGCCGAGCCGGGCGCCGCGCGGCCCGCGCCGCGGCGGGGAGCCGAGCGGGGCGCCGGGCTGCCCAGGCCGGCGGCGCCCCCGCCCGCGGGCCGGGCTCGACGAGACGTAGGAGAGACCCTTCGCCAGAGTGACCTTTGGTGCGGGCCCAGTGGGTCGGAAGCCAGGCAAGGGCTGAGAAGGCGAAAACCCATCCCCACCCCGAGTCCCGACACCCACCCCCGAGCCCGCGATCTGGGGGGTCGAGACTGGGGGTGGGGGTGGGTTTTCTCTAGTCCGGGACCCCGAATCCCCACCCCCAGTCCCGACCCCCCGGATCGAGGGTTCGGAAATGGGGTCGGGACTGGGGGTGGGAGCGGGTTTTCGCCTTCTCAAAGGGCTGCTAAATCCGTGGCTGCTAAAATCGACCTCCGGGAAGTTGTCTTCGTCCTTCCGGGAAGGAGCCCGTGGACTGTTTCGCGTGCCGCGCCTCATTCCGGGAAGTTGTTTTTTCCTTCCGGGAGGGCCGCTTTAGCAGCCGCCGTTTTGGCAGCCTTCGCCCGGCTTCCGAATGGGGTCCCCCGATCGCCGAGCGGGATGCGACAGCGGCGTCCTGCGGGTCTGTGTTTGGTCCCCCCTTTGGCCCCCCAGAACGCCGCGCACCAAACCCCGACCCCCGACGTCGTGATTTTGTTCACAACGTCGACCCCGGGCAGTCTGGACCCTTCCCCCGGGACTGGCTTTTCATCCCGAGTCGTTTTTTGGCGGTCCCGAGGCCCGGGAAGGGCCCCCGAGGCCGAACATAGCGAATGTTTTCCGTTGTGTTTTTTTTTTCACGACGCTATATAGCACAACCGCGGCATGGCACATCGCAATTCAGCACGGTGCAGCACAGCACAGCCCTCGGCACGGTACATCAAGATCGATACAATCAGCATTGCACTTGCCCGTCACCCAATCAGGTGTCTTTGAAAACGCTGCCACGCGTTACATTTCTATATTCCCTTTCCGGGTTCGTGGGTCGATCCTGTTTTCACGACGCGAGGGGGTCTGGGAAGGTCGCTCCTGCCCGGGGTCGCTCCTGCGTGCCGCCGATCGGGCGCCGAGCGGGCGGTCGCCGGCCCGCAGCCGGCCGCGGGGGCGCCGCGGGCGGCCGGGCGGCGCCGGGCGGGCCTTCGCGCTGGCGGTCGCGGGCGCCGCGGGCCGTGCGCGCTCCCGCTCGGCGCGAAGGAGGGCCGCGGTCGAGGCGGCGGCGGCCGTCGACGCCCGGAGATAGGATTACCCAGAGATTTCCAACGTATAAAAAATCAAGGCGGAGGTTTTTCGCACATTTCGGCCTGCAGAGGCCCTCGCCGGGCCTCGGGACCGTCAAAAAACGATTCAGGATGAAAAGCTGGTCCTGGGGAATGGGTCGAGACTTCCGGGGACCCCGTATTGAAAAAATCACGACGTCGGATCTCTGGGTAAGCAGTGGCGAAGCATCCTGGCGTGCCTATGGCCCTACCAAGCGATGTTCTGAGAACTGTTTGTGGTTCCCACGAAGTGTTCTTAGGACATTTCTGGCTGGGGCTGTCTTGTTGATCACATCGGGTTAATGTTCTAAGAAAATTGCTTTTCCCTAAAAACGCTGTTGGGTTCTAAGAACATATCGTGGTAGGACTATAGAATGCCCGGACGGTCGGTCCCTGCTCAATAGGACCGTTTCAATCCAGGCGTTTGTTCTCGAGTTGGGCCTTTTTCGGGCCCCCGGGCCATCAGCGAGGAATCCTGAAGAAAGCCAGACCCCCCAGGAAGCGGTTGGGATATCTGTGGGGGCGCTGATTCTTCCAACCCTGGGGTCTGGGCGGCGCAGTTTTTGAACACCTGGCGTGTTCGCCCGGTTGCAGGCCACAGGACCAGCACAGATCGACCCGGCTCGAAAACTGCAGCAGGAAGCGGTCGTGTCGGGCTGGGCTAGGACGAGGATAAATCCGTTGCAGAGCTTTCCGGAACGCTGTCAGAGCGTTCTGGAACGCTCTGAGAAGGCCGCGGCGCCCGAGACATCCTCCAGATCCGCGGGATCTCAGAGTGTCTCAATGTATCCTTACCCGAATTTGTCCTCGTCCTTGCTTCGTTTCAGGTCGTGATTCTTCGCGATCTGAGGCGGCCCTGTCGCAACGTCAGAGCTCTCAAGGTATCCCTGGGGTTTTGTTCCCTTTTGGGGGGCCTCCTGCAGGAGGCTCCTCGTGGCCACGGCTGGGTAGACGCCTCGAGAAAAGCGGGCTCAGGCTTGGCCCCGGGAGAGTTCCGGGGGCCCATCCTGAGCGGATGTGGGCCAGGCGGATTGTGAGCCGCCGTTGTCTCAGTGGGCCCTCCTTTCGGACGGTCGCCGCCTGCGCCAAGCTCAGCTAAATCCTCGTCATCCTCGTCGTCCTCCTCCTCCTCATCATCATCATCATCATCATCATCATCATCATCACCATCTTCATCATCATCATCGTCACCATTATTATTATCATCGTCATCATCAGCATCATCATCATCGTCATCGTCGTCGTCATTGTCATCGTCATCGTTGTCACCAGCATCATCATCATTATTATTATCATCATCATCACCATCATCATCATCGTCATCGCCATCGTCATCGCCACCACCATAATCATCATCATAATCACTATCATCATCACCATCTTCATCACCATCGTCATCATAACCATAGACATTTTCATCATCACCCTCCTCCTCATCATCATCATCACCAATAGAATCATCATCAGCATCATCATCATCACCATCACCATCATTATTAGTTTCATCCGTAAGGGCTTCGCCCCCTGCCGCCGCCCCCCTCTCTGTCAGACTGAGATATATCAGAGTCGCGTCGGTGCGTCTCGGCGCTGCCTTGGCGCATTTGGGAACATCCTCCGGGGGCGGACAGGAATCATCAGCGCATTTTGAGACGTTGGCGTTATCGAAGACGCCTACGGCGAATCACCGCCGCCCCCTGCCCTTGTGGAAGCCCTTCGGGGAACACGTGGGGGAGGATGGCGAGGAAGATCAGGAGGAGGAGGAGGAGAAGGATGATTAGGAGGAGCAGAAGGATGAGGAGATGAGGAGGAGGAAGAGGAGCAGGAGGAGGAGGAGGAAGAGGAGGAGAAGGAGGACGATGAGGAGGAGGTGCAGCTGCCCCTAGGAGTTCTGAGGCGCGCGGTGCTTGCAAGTCGTAAGTTGTCTTTGAAGCACAAGCTCACATATATACATAAGCTTTGCACGCCTCACCTGCTATATAACGCATCTGTCTGGCCTCGAGTATGCGCCAGACATGCCGCTTTGCTTGAGAATCGGTTCTTGCAGCCATTTCGTGAAGCATCAGGCCTCAAATTCGATGGATTTCGCCAGAATAATGTTGCAGCACACAAGCTCCTGAGTGCAGTCGGTCAAGCTCCTCTCGAGAACATGCTTCGCCTCAGGAGGCTCCGTTTGATCCCCCGTATCGTGCTGGCCGCTCCAACGGCTCCCCTCTCTCTTCTTGACGAAGCAACTCAGGCCGAACAGTCGTGGACGAATCTTGTTTGCCAGAACTTGACGTGGCTAGGCGATCACGTGCAATTGCCTCGAGAGTTAATGCCGTGCGGTCCGGCTAGCTGGTGGGTGCACTCAGCACGAATATGAGGCACATTAGTTTGGAAACGCATGTGCAGGCAGGCCGAGAGGGCGGCTCACGCACGCAGCTTAGATAAAATCCGCAGGCGTGAGTGGCATGATTGGCTTCGTGACGTTGCTCACTGTGCAGGCACGCCATGTCCCCCCTTCCTCGTGCTCCTTTCTCCCTCCCATGTCTTTCCATGTTTCGAGTGCGATGCTGCGTTGTAACACACGTGCATCCTGGGCTACGCACCGCACCGAAGCCAATCCAGAGTTGGACCCGGCATAGCTTCGGGGTCGCGCTGCCAAGCGTGTTGTCTTGACTTTCGCTCGAGGCTCAGACTCCTGAAACATCGCAGGCATGGCAAACAAGCCTGGTTGGCAAACTTGATCGCTGTGCTGCCTACGATGACACCGGAACAAGTTGCCAGTGAGCGCGAATCCGATGCCATTCTATCGAGGGAGATGCGCAGGCAAGGGCATTAGGAAGAGAAGGCCACTGCCCCACCGTCACGTCTTGTCGGGTCTGGCTTGTCGGGGGCGGCCGTTTCCTTCGGGCTCCCTGTTGCTGGGCGCCGTGCCGTGGGTCGTGCCATCCCAGTTGAGGTGAACGCCGCCCCCCTCCGCCCCCGTCCCCTCGTCGCATAGCGCCAGTGATGTTATGTTTCTCCTGAATGTGTCGAGTTGCATGCGCACTTTGCATGACGTGCAATGGTGGTGCGAGGAGTTTTGCGCAATTCGCGGGCTTGGCATATGGATGCTTACTACTACTCCACGTCTTGTCGGGTCTGGCTTGTCGGGGGCGGCCGTTTCCTTCGGGCTCCCTGTTGCTGGGCGCCGTGCCGTGGGTCGTGCCATCCCAGTTGAGGTGAACGCCGCCCCCCTCCGCCCCCGTCCCCTCGTCGCATAGCGCCAGTGATGTTATGTTTCTCCTGAATGTGTCGAGTTGCATGCGCACTTTGCATGACGTGCAATGGTGGTGCGAGGAGTTTTGCGCAATTCGCGGGCTTGGCATATGGATGCTTACTACTACTCCGTCCGACATCGCATTTGCAGCGGAGCATAATCGTATTATTCCGTTTATCCATTCCAAGAAAGCGCTCAGTGCGATGGCTGCACTTCGGGTCGAGATTTGGTGCGAGAGGACAGACAGCCGTGCCAAGCCATATCGGTCTTCCATCCACATTTGGGGTGCTCCCAACCTCGCACCCAATGAATGGGTGAAAGTGCAGGAGGATAATGTTATGCTGCGGTTCAGTGCTGCCTTGGCGCTCGCGGTCCATCCTGTGAACTGCCCAGCTGTTCTATTGCATGCCAGCCCTCTCTGATCTCCGCACCCCTTCCTTGCCCTTGGGAGTTG